TCCTGCTGCATGCCTTCCCCCCAGCTCCCTGAGCAGCAGTGCCTGTGGGTGGGAAGGCAGCACAGCACATACAGCAGAAGAAATCGATCTGGCATGAGGCTGCATCGCCCCCTTGACAGCTATTAAGAAAATAAATAGTCCTTGCTTAGCCAAACCGACCTTTGTAAGAGAGCAGCGCGAAGCGGCCAGGGAGTCTCAGCAGAGGTTTCCATTCCTTGCTGTGATGGTGATCCCTCTTCTCCTCACTTGCAACCCAGAGGCAAGTCCCTTCCCCATGCCTCAGTTCCTCGTCTGTAAAAAGCTGATACTGCACTGCCTCCCATGGACATTCCTATGATTTTTGCATTGTTTTCATGACAGGCTTGACAGTGTTAGAGAGGGAAGTGGGAGCTTGATTTAAATACCTGCCCTCTGTCAGACAGAGAGAGTAGAGATGGATCAGGTTGGCTTCACCACAGCCTAAAGCACTGTCTCCCTCTTGTGGGTTCATGCCCCCGGATAGTAAAGATGGACGCTCTTGCACACCCCTCCTGCAGCCACCGCCGCTGCTTCCTTTGGTACCCCCTTTTTGGCAGCAATTGGCAGTCAGGGGAAAACCAGTGGTTGGAGGGGAAGGTGGGGGGAAATCATCATCAGCAGACAAAGTATGGGGAAGTAAGAGTGGCTGAAGTAGAAGGGTGCCACCGACTGCTGTTGTGATCTGCAGAAAGGAAACCTGTCATGCCCCCCTGGCCTAGAGGATGGGCTTGGGGAGAGAAGCCCTGCAACAGCTGGGCCAAGAACCAATGTGCCACCCACAAGCAGACCTCCTCGTTCCACTGATCTAGACCATAAATAGGCTTTGGTCACCATTATACTTCATACAAGTCCCTCCTGCAGTACTGGGGGGGATCCTACCCTGACTAATAACATTCTGGATAATCAGCTTTTAAAATTATCCGCCCCCCTTTTCTCTGGGCCTGGCTCTGCTCACCGGCTTTCTTGTATCCAGGTGACCCTTCACGCACCTCTCCCAACACCCACAATCCCAGGGCTTGTCTAGGAGGTTATCAATCCTCATCTGTCCTCTCCCCACCCAAATTCTCCCACCTGCTCCAGCCCTAGCAGACTCAGGGGGAAGGGTTGTGAATCCCTCCAACTCCGGCAGATCCAGATGTTTCCTTTGCTCATTCCCATCTCCCTCAGGCCACAGCATTCACATCTCCTCTGCTTTCACCTGCTCATCTTTGTCCCCACCCTTCCTTCCTCTGCCAAGAGACAATTTACCAGGTCTCAGGGGGCAGTGTCTCCTCTCCAGGTGCTGCTGGGGCCAGAGCTGTGCCACCAGCTCTTCCCTGGCCCCCCATGCTGTTACTGGCCTCGTCTTCTCTGAGCATGGAGCAGGGGTGGCAGGAGATGCGGCTGCCGAGATGGGGGCGCATGCATTCGTTCATACCATCGCCAACTGTCATGGAACCCCCAGGCCCAGCCCCGACAGCCCCACGCCAGGCCGTCCTGCTGCTCCAGCCAGGACGGCTCCCAAGCAGACCTGCCTCAGCATGGGCAATACCCTGGGGCCAGCTCTAGCTCCTCAGACAAAGGCCTTGCCTTCCCACAAAGTGGCAGGGGAGATCGGAGGGACAGCTTCTGGAAACCTATGACCATGTCACCCATGAGATCCACATTTGTGGTCCAAAAAGTCTGTTAAAAACTGTGCCTGCAGCAAAGAGCCAAGAGGTAACAGGTGCTTAGCATAGCACCTCAATGAACTAATGACTCCTGTCCATTTACAATGCTATCTGCTGGCCTTCAGGTTCTTCGCACTGGTAATGACATCACCTTAAAATGGCTGAAACAGTAGGACAAAACCCCATATGCTAAACAAATAAATAAATAAATGAACTAATTCTGGCCCCAGGGCACCCCCTGCTTTAGCAGGCAGATAGATCAGGCTACTAGTCTGTGTCCATCTCTGCTGCTGGCAAGAGGAAAACAGCATCTTTTCAGAAGGAGTAGGAGGGGAAGAGAGAGAGAGTGTGTGCATGCATGCACGCGCACGCGCACGTAGGCACAGATGTGCACAAGATCTCTTGCAATGGTCACACCAGTCTGTTTTTGAGAATAACAGATCAATCGCACTTCCTTTCTGGCTCATTTGTGGAGAAACAGCCCTACTGTGGGCAACCAAGTTGGGCTTTCATTTCCCCTTTGCTCTTGAATGTTAACCCCTTATTAATTAGAAACATAGGGCTGGCAGGAACCTCCTGGGCTACTACGGACAGTTCTCTGCATTTGCAGGCCACCTGAAAATCACCATCTCAAAACCTCATGCAAGCACAAGGTACAAAGCTAGAAATGAACATCTCAGCAGATCCTGAGGCTCAGTTTATTTTACACACTAAGTCATTTGTTCTGGGCCCAATTCTGAGAGGTGCTGAGCAGCTGGCTAGCCCAACACCACCCAGTGAAGTCAGTGGAATGGCTCCTCCCCCTACGTGCAGTTGGAAGTAGAGCTGAAGCCTGGGGAAGGGGGAGGTATCTGGGGTCTTTGAACTCTCTTGCTGATGTTGGACAGAGCCCTGGACAGGGAAGGATGGTTGGTGCCCTGCATGATATGGGTGCGTCTGCAGCCATATGGTTCTCATGGGCAGAAGCCTGCCCCTGGATGCAGGCCAAGGATTACTGTGGACTGCCCTAGAGGCAGCTTGTGTAGGGGACTCTAGGGGGGGACCTGGGAAAGGAGCAGTGAGGGCACTTCTAAAGGGCTCAGACTGGCAGCACTTAGCAACTGAGAAGGAGGCTGTGTGGCGTTTCTTACTGCAGTGTGTGAGATGCATCTGACAGATGGGTTGGAGCTTGTCAGTGGGCAGGGTGGTGGGAGGGGGTGAGAGCTGGGAGTGAGTTACACCACAAGACTGCTTAGGATACAGGATGGTTTGCTGCCCACCATAGGGAAGGTATAGCAGCTGGGAGACAGGATAGTCCAGAAGCATCTGCTGGCCAGAAGGAGGGCTCCCAGGTGGACAAAGGGACTCAGTAAGGGTGGGTCTTCACGGAGGGTACCCCAGGTGAAAGCCTGGTGATCAGATCCAAGTGACTGACATAGGACTGGGCAATTCTGTAGGCTGAGAAGTGGGTGGCTGCTTGCCAGAGAGAAGTGTGTTGTTAGCAGGGGATGTCAGCAGTTGGGAAGGGCTGCAGCCTTTGTACTTTAGCCCAGGTTTTCCCCTGTCCCCCCTCCACGCTCCCCCACCACCACCACACACACTACAGCAGCTGTCACAGAAGGCTGACTATGCAGTAGTTAGCACCAGGGCAAAAGGGACTACCACAGAACTACTACCCATGTTGGGATTCCCTCTGCTCAGCTGGAGTTGCCCTGGTCCTGTGCACACCACTGCACCGACAGTGTCAGTAATGTCAAGGATGCCTATAGCAGTGTCTGAGGGAAAACTGGAGCTCACAAGCAACCCATTTACACACAAGAGCAGTGCAGCTGGTGGCTGGTTAGCTGATCAACGGGGCAGGTCCTGTACTAACCTCCCAGGAAGAGCCGGCATCAATCAAGGGGATTCGGAGGAGGATGGCTCACTTTCACCAGAGATATTCTACCATTCAAATCTACCTGGTTCAGGCTCCTGGAGGCTTGCACCAGGCCTGGCCTGTGTGCATCCCACCTGCCAATGATCTGGACTGAGTCCAAGGTAGTCCAGCACCCTGTGATGGCTGCTGTCCTTACAGGGCTGTCATCCACATCCTGCTCTCAAGAGCTCTGCTGGTGGGAGGTACCTTTGGTCACTCACCTGATGATGGAGGCCAAGGGCATGCCAAAGCTGTCCTCTGAGTGGCATGGGCTGTGCAGGCCATTATTTGCCTTTCTCCTTTGCTCTTCCTCCCTCTCAGTCCAGGGAGCATCTGTAGCAGAACTGGTTCCAGAGTCTGGCTCCAGGTGGGCCAGAGGGGCAAAATTCTCCTTAATCAGCTTGACACTGTCTCGGATCTTGTCCTGGATTTGTGGGGTGAGGGTTGGGAGGTCAAAGGTAAAGTAGGTGCCATTGGTACGGGCAGGGGAGGAGAGGATGTCAATGGAGTCGAGGCTGGTGTAGGACGTCCCCTTGGCCCGGTGGGATTCCATGATGCTCTCAAAATGCTTGCTGAACGAATCCATGCCATCTTTGGAGAGGCTGTGTCCCAGGAGGAAGGGCACAGGTGACTTGAGCAGACCCTGTGCATCTCGATCCATGACCCTGGGTGAGGGAAGAGAGAGATCTGCTAGTCACTGAGGAGACAGGAGTAATGGCAGATTGCCCACTGAATTAAGTTCATCGGCCCCTGAAGCAGGTACTTGGGAAGGACAGCATCTCTTCTGACTTTCTCCAAGACCTCACTCTAAGGAAAAGCCACCCCAATTAGTCAGGTCACTGCAGTTCTCCAGGCTTGTTTCCCCATTAATGCAGTGTGGGCCTTTGTTCCTTTCTGGTCGTTCATCCACCTAAGCAGCTTATGAATTGGCTACTGCTCCAGCTACCAGACTTGGGGCTAGATCCAATAAAGGACTTAGGGACCTAAAGCAGGACTTAGGTGGAATTGAGGGGCCTAAATCCAAATTTGGGATCCTGAAAACCACTGCTCATCTGTCATCTCACCCTGGAGTCGCCTAAACTCACTAGACACTTCCCTCTTTGACCTGCAGGGTCCCTGCTCCTCTGCAGGCCCAGAGCAGCCCCCCTGTGAGCAGCTCAGCATCTGTCTCTGGGCTGAGCCTGTTCACAGTCCCGTTGCCTATTTCCCCATGGGGCCTGTCCTGGAAGATCTGCCCACAGACTGAATCTCCACCCCAAATGCATTGCGACTGCAGAAAGTGGGGGCTCATCTTTTGTATAGCAGCCTTGTGGTCAGAACACTTTACAGAAGGGCCCTTTCAAAAAAGAGGCCATTGAAATGTAAATTCACTCTCATCACAATCCAAGAAGCCTCCACTAAATCAAATTAACAATGCCCTTATCACTTCATCACCAGAGTCCATCTGGAGCACTGCAGGCTGCACCAAAAGCAAGGATAGTGGCTTGTGAGAAGGTACCATATATGGCAGCGCCACTGGTGCCTGTGGATCAGGGATCCCCCTTCTGGGGGAAAGGTCAGGGATCTGGGCTAAACCCTCATGGCGAGACCACCTGGTTCAGGTTAGGAAATCACAGGGAGGCTGAATGGAGACACTACCCACACAGAAGGATTGGAATGGAGAGGCTTCATCCCCAAGTGGGGGTGGGGGGGCTGAAGCTCATGGGGGAGAAGGCCCAGGAAACATGAGGATGTGGACCAGGGGTGGGCAAAATGCAGCCCCTGGGCCAGATGTGGCCTGCCAGGCCATTCTATCCAGCCTGCAGGGCCCCTAAAAAATTTAGAAAATTAATATTTATCTGCCCCTGGCTGCCTGTCATTCAGCCCTTGACGGCATGCCAAAACTCAGCAAGTGGCCCTCTGCCTGACATAATTGCCCACCACTGGTATGGACTCTAGTCTGGGAACTGATCATAGGAGAAGAGAACAGATTACAACAGCCTGGCTTCAACGGTACTGTCTGTGCCCTCACTGGACCTTCATGGGATGTTGCTATGACCTCACCCCAATGACACCTGCTTCAAAAGCCGAATTAAATTCCAGGCACTGCAAGTAGTATCCAAGGATGGTTTAACAAGTGGTCTAACTAGCCACAGTATCTCTCTGTACTGCATCCTGCAAAGTGGTGATAGGGGCAGCACACAGTACTGCAGATGGAGTCACATACAGATGCAACCCATATGCAGTCACAGTATTGCCTCCTGCTTTGTATGCAGTTCCTCTGATAATGCCTGAGGAACTGGTTCATCTTTTATTCAGTTCTTCTCCAGGCTGCTGACAGCAGTGCTTTTCCACATTAACCCCCAAAATTTGTCAAGGGGCTGGCTGATTCTTTTATTCAGCACCTCTACCTTACATTGATCTTTGACCAAGGCTAATGAGAAGCATGTTATTTATTACCACATTAGACCAGCCACTGGCTCATCTTTCTAGTATCGAGTTTCAACTTTGACTTCCCTGCATTTCTCTAATTCCAACTATTTTTGATGGAAATCTGTGCCAATTTTTTGTCTACTTCCTCCTCCAGATCATTAACAATATATGCAGTAGCAATGAGTAATAATCATTTCCTGTCTTGAGGAGCAGACACTCAAGCAGGGCTGGAGAAGTCAAAGGTATTATTCAGTATAGTCTGGCTCTATGTCTCTGGGTATGTTTACATTGCAGTCACTGTCATTTATCTGCTCAGTGATAGATTTTAACTATTCTTAGCTATACTGAGTTTTGTAGACCAGACCTATGTCAGCTAGCTATGACACTGTAAGCCTCCTGGATAGATGATGTTATACTGGTATAAAAGTGCTTTGTACTGCATAGGTAAGCTTTTCCTGCCCATGGGAAGCGTCAGAACACTGTACAGATTTTTACGCTGATTTAACTGCATCTGCACTGTGGGTGCTGTATGACTTCCTAGTAGCAGAACTTCTTTAACCCCTTACCAGACTGAGGACCTGAGATGCTCTCTGATCTAGAGGCCTCCTCTCCTAGCATATTCTTGTGGCAGGGAAGCGGCATAAGGCCCCCAACAATTTTGTTTGGGTATACAGAATACAGGGAGAGCCCTGTTTAAAGCTGTGTCAGAGGTAATGTTTCTTTCAGAGGGAGTAAGAGAGATCAGCCAGAGCTACAGTTCCACACCAGCCCCATGAGGAGAGCAGCTCATTCTGGCCCCGTGTGTCAGAACAGCAGCATTGTGCTCTGCCAAGTACATTCCACAGCATAGTTTTTCCTGTCCTGAGATGGTGCTTTGATATTCTCTGTGGCAGTGGTTCTCAACCTTTTCAGACTCGAGGCTCCCTCCAGAACTTTTCTGAGTTTGGCAGCACCCCAGTGGAGAATCACTGTTCTAGCACGGTAGCTACTTATTTCTGTTTCTTGGGCACACAAGCTGCCTGTAGAGAGTGGCTGTAAAAGCCTTAATTTGGTTGCAGCTGTGAAAGGGTTAACATAGCATCTGGTGTTGCAGTGGTGGGGGGAAGGGGAAAGCCAGGCTTGGAAGAGAATCCTGACCCTGGCCTAGCAGCATCTGTGGGGCCACAGCTAACAGGAGCTAACATCCCTTGGTGATCCTCTGCTGAACACAGACCCCTACCACCACTCTGGCACCCTCTGCCTCCATTCCAGTGCCCTCCCCATGGTCAGTACCCAGCGCTGCTGCCTGTGCCCAGCCAAGGTCAGCTGGAATGGTCTCCTGTGACCCTGCTTCCAGGAGGGAGCATTTTGAATGGACTATGGGAGGATTAGGGAGGGCTGAGGCAGGAGGAGAACCTCCTGTAGCCACTTCCCAAACTGCCCAGCATGCTCCTGCTGGAAAGGGACAGTTCCACACAGACCTCAGCACCTTTGAAAGGGTCTTATGGCACCCCAGTTGAGAACCACTGTACTATAGGCTCCACTCCCCTGTAGCTAAGAGAGCCATAGGATCAATTCCTTCTACAAACCTACGCCCTAATCCAAACCTCCTTTGGTTGGATCAATGTGAGGAACCTCAAAGACTTCAGTGGGTTCTGGATCAGGCCCTCAGCCCCAGCCACCTTGTGCTTTGCCTTTCTACTCTCCCCTGCACTCAGCCCAATGTGCTTCCTTTCCATCATTCCTACCTCCCTGCCCTCTATTCTAACCCTCCTCTCTCCATCCTCCAATACACTATCACATTGCCAACACAATGCTTGGGAGGGTGGGAAATGCACACAGGTTAATGCTACTACAAAACAGAACATGTACACAGGGCTCCTTGCATTTCACTAGTGTTTCACAAGCTTAGTAAATTCCTTATACTAAGGCCAAAGGAATTCTTCACTGAAATGCAGACAACTCTGGGGTGAAGCACAGCAGCTTCTTTACAATACACAAGAACATTACATGACAACTTAGGATGGGGAGTAATAAACCCTGTATCCCTTTCTTCTGAAAGCTCAGGAGGACACTGTGGAGGAGGAATATAGCTGTCTCAGTTGGTAGCTAGCCTGGACACCTGAGTTAACACCCTTACTTGCTAGGAGAGCCTTAGGATTCCAGTTTACCCACACAATCTTTGTTCTAGGTCTTATTCTAAATACAGCTACAGCAACTCCAGCGGCATCGTGCCCCCTATGGAAGTGGAGATTGATGCAAGACCCTCCAGTTTTTCAGCAGTTTACTATCTGAAGGTTCACCATGCACAGTCTTATATAGTTTGGAGAGGCTCACAATCCCATTGTACCTTACCGGATGGTACTAATAGGCTACACGTTTCTGGCATGTGAGCTCACCCAGCAAAAAGACATTCTGTGGTAGAAATGAGTGAGGAAGTTTAAAGGAGCTTTTTTCCTCTACCAGACACTACCTTGGTCCCTCCCGAGCAAATTCACCTGTCTCCGTTCTCTTGCCTTGTTGCTTCAAACACCTCGTCATCCTCATCCACCTCTTCTCCATGTTTGCCATTCCTCATATGCTTCCCATTGTGCTCCATGGTGCCCTGGGGAAAGGGGTCTTCAGGTGCACTGTTCCTTCTCCCCAAAGTGCCAGTGAAACTTGGGTTACTCTCGCTGTCCTTCTGACTCTCAATGGCTGAATCCACCTCGTCCTTCTCAGCCAGAATATCATCAATGTTGGTCTCACGATAGCATCTCAGAGGCACCAAGTCCAGGTCTGTCTCTGAATACTTCACTGTTCTTCTTATAATTCCAGTTTCACAGGAGCCTGGGTTCTTGTTGCCTGAAGGAGCCATCTCTATTTCCACCTCTACATGACAAAAGCTGTGCTCAGCCATGGACTTCTTGGGTTCTGGTAGCAGCAGGTGGCTGGGTTTCTGAAGGGGCTCTTTGAGGGAAAGCGATTCAGGTTTCTGAGAGGAATTACCTGGAACAGAGAGAGCCCAGAACATTTACATGAACAGGCCATGACCCATTTCTCAGAGAAACTCAACCTCTGTTTTACATGAGGGAATGGCATCTGAGAGGTGGGGAGGCCCACTACTTCCCAACGTTACATATGAGCAGCCCTGCACAGGCCCAGAGAAGAGGGGAGCGAGAAACGGGAGGCAGAAAGGAAGTAATAGGCAGTACTCAAAGAGAGACATTTCTAGTTTTGCAGCCATTGCAGCTGTGAGGATTTAGGGCAGTTAGGTGCATCTAAAGCTCTATGAACCGGGTCCCCCTCAGCCAGCAACCCCCAAAGCACCTGGAACCCTCCTAAAAGGAAGCCAAGAGTGAAGCCCAGCCCCCAGTGGGTACAGAGTCACTGTAAAATCTCATTCATAAGCACAGAGAGGTTTGTATGAACAGATTAATGGTAGCAGAGGTGTGGGTCTTAAGTGAGGGACTAGTTATTTTGAGCCTGGGTTTTATTATATCAGCTTGAACTACACAGTTTCCATCCAGCTTTCAGATCCCATGCCCCAAAGTTTGGAGGGACAGTTGGGGGCTTGGGGTGGACTGTGACAGAGAAAAGGCCAGCCCTAGCATTTAGACCTGGATCTGGTTCCAAGTTAATGACAGCCCTAGTGGAGGGAGAACTCCCTTCCCCAGCCCCACTGCTCACCACAGGGGACCATTTACCTGTACCTGGAGAATCTAGAGAGCCATAGAAGAATTCCCACTTGGCCTTTGCAATGCGTTGGGCATGGGCTGAGGTCTCCCGGGAATATGCCCATGAGCCCCCCTGCAGGAAAGGGAGACAGCATCAGTGGTGAGATCCCTGTGAAGTGTGAAGAGTTGCAAAGCAGAGAGGTGGCCTCTAGAGGCAGAGGGACCAGCTCTCCCTTAGAGTAACTCTGTGCAGTACCTGGTAGCATGGCTCCATGTTCAGAGGACTCCCTAGGAGTGCTGAGATGTCCTCTGATGGTGTCCCAAGCCCATTGGTGAGAGAACTGAAGATGCAGTTGGAATTCAGGGAGTGGGAATCCCTTCCATTGCCAGAACCACTAGAGGAGCGCTTGTCCCCGGGAGGCCTGCTCCCAGCCAGGAAAGGGTCTGATGCAGAGGACTCTAGTTTCAGCTTCCGACTCAGGTGCTCATGAAACTTAGTGTTGTGGCTCAGAGGGGTGTATGTCCCACCAGGAGTCCTGCTCCCAGGGTTAGACCCAGGCAGCTCGGCTGTCAGTTGGAGGTCCTCGTTCATGGTCTGCTTGATGCCCCTCTGAGGTGACATGGCTTTGCTCTGCCGGGAGACCTGGATTTGTGCTGCTAGGCAGGCATTCTCCTCTCTGCTGGAGCTACAGCGGATGGCCTCCCCAAACTCCAAGCTCCTGCTCAGGCCACGGGCACTCTGCTCATTCTCCCTCCGGGGCTCAGCTGGTGGGAGGCCATTCAGGGTTTTAACACTGGCTTTCTCAATGAACCGGAACGTCACCACAGAGCTCTGTCCTTCAGGGGCAGATGCCACCAGAGGGGTGCGACTGCCAGGTGATGACAGCGAGGGGCTTGGCCTGCTTCGCAGTGGGGTGCAAGGAGCTGTCACTCGTCCGGTGCTTGAGCAGTTGCCGTTGCCAAAGGGGCCCGTCTCCAATGCCTTACGGACCAAGGAGCCAGTGCTGTTATACATGCCCAGCTGGGAGCGCCGCGCGTCGGGATTCAGACCCTTGCGCAGTAAGTGGATCCTGCCCGCATTGAGATTGGGGGTGAGACAGCGCGGGGGGCTGTAGGTACCATATTCAATGAAGTTCTTGGCAGCAGGCAGCCAGGGCCTGCGCTCCACTTGCGGGGATGACATGGCACAGTCTCCATCAGGGCGGAAGCGCATGACCTCCCCAGCCTGGGCCATCCTGCTGGGGAAGGGCAAGGCGTCGTCAGGTCTGAAGCCAGAAGGGGTGGGGCAGGAGGGAGGAGAAGCTTTCCCAGTGCCTGCGAGACGAGGGCTGGGCTGGAAGGTGACACATCCTTATGCGGCCCTGAAATAGAGGCACAAGCTGTGAGTTAAGGGCATGGTCAAATATACACAGAGAAGGGAGAGAGATGGTTGGACAGGGCAGAGATGGAAACTACCTTGAGTTACTCCTGTACAACCCAGTTCACCTCAGTCAGATTGTACTGGTGTGAATAAAGGCAGAATTTGGTCTGGGTGAGCAAAACGAATGAATAGATAAATAAAACCCTGTGAGGTAAGGAGACAGAAGACAAGAACTGGCCACTCAACCTGCTTGCCCAGTGTTGGTACATGCCTGATATATACCTGGATATTGAATCTGGTGATTACCACATTACACACACAGCAGAGCTGGGCATCTGTAAAAGACAGAGCAAGGGTTTTAATGAAAGAGGCTGGGAACATATGCATACATTACTGAGAGGAGAGAGGGGCTTCTGGGCATAAGGCAGCCTGAGAGAAAGGCAGTGCGGGGTGTGACTGTCCCCTTCAGTATGCAATATAAGTGGCACAGGGCTACCATGAAAAGGAGTAAGTGGACCCCAAAGCCAGTGGAGGGATGCAGTGCCAGCATACAGTGGTGGCAGAGGTGGTGGTGGAGGCACAGTGCCAGACCCGTGTGAATGAAGCTGTGTCACTAGGAGCAGAGCTGCCACATGACCCTGTGTCCTTCACAGAGAATGAGTCCAGTCCTGCTGCTCTAAAATTCATCCCCACCAGCTGAGCAGGCTGCCACAACACAGCCATAACTCAGGCACTGCTGAATATCAAGCACTATCCCCCCTCCCCTGGCAGGAAAGGGCAATAGGAACAATTCAACAACAAAGGCAGCTTCTTTCAAAGAGCTGGATGACCAAGGCCATCAGCAGGCAATCTTTTACTCATTGTTCTGCACCATTTGTTTTGTTAAGCAGCCTGACGTCCAGCACACCCAACACTACTCCAGTCCTGCCTCTTCCCAGGAGTCCACCAGGATACAGCTCTGAAAGGTATCCAGCATCAGTGACATGGCACTGGTGACTCAGACACCATCCCTCCACTCAAGATCATCCTAGGGCATAATCAATCACTTTACCCATCACAGTCCAGACTGGGAAGAATTGTCTGAGCCAAGTGAAAAGCAGATATAGAAGCCAGATTCTGGCCATCTAACACTTGTACACTGTGCAGGACCATGGCCTTGGTACAGGCCAGAAGGCAGCAGCAAGTGACAGAAACTAAACTCAGGCCTGACCACTGTATGATCAGCCATCAGCAGATAACACACAAAATCATATAGGTAATGGTGTGCCCAGTGGGAAATGGCACGAGCCCTATGCCAGGCCATCTCATCCCCGCAAATCACAATGCCCCCCCACAGACTTTGACAGGACAAGGTGGTAGGTGCTACTGCGTTCTTCCTTCCTGAAAACAATGCCAGGAGAGGAACCTCAAATCTAAGACATCCTCATTCAAATTTCCTCGTCAAACAGCAGGAAGCAGTGGCAGGACTGACTGATTGTGTGCTCCCTTACAGACCAGCACAGACTAAGGGACTGACTGATAAAGGGGTGCATTGACACAGGGTTAGTGGTGGTGGTAAAACACCCACACACTTGACATTTTGGGAGATACCCGCAGGCATATTGACAAGGCTGTGGTTGCAAAGACCAACAAATTCATGCCACCACTTCTTTTCCTCTGGGATTTTCACTAGCATCTCTGGTTTAACCCAGGCTGCCAGTCACACCCTGGACCTGACTTATAGCACTGTCTTGAACAGACCATCACCTCACTATGGCCATGGCCAGAGACCGTCCTGTTCCAGGCAATAAGAAAGGCTCATGGAACCTAATCTAACCATAAAGACTACAACACCTGCTAGATTGTTGGGGACTCCACCCACAAGATGAGGAATTGAGGCCCTGGTGAATCATCATTGTTATAAAGTAAGTCTAACCATCTACACACTGGTCGCTAAATAGGCCCTTCCCCATCATCCAACATGTTTTCTAACACTCTGAGTCTGATAAGGAGAGAGGAACATCCACGGAAATTCTGGCATCCACGGAAATAAGAGCTGATACAGACATAACAAATGCTTTCTATGGTGAGGCTGTATTATAGAATAACAGACCTTCCTTATCAGACTTCACTGAAGTCACTAAATCCTGCCTCGGGGAACTATCTATATGGTAGGACCCACTTCACCAGCCCTGTGCGTCACCAACAGCCTGCATCGGAGCTGAGCACCACATACTACAAAGAGCTATCATTTCTGAAGGCATACAGTCTCTGAAAGCCTTCACACACAGCACAAATCTGTTCCGTCTCTACTGCTTTACACACAGCCTGTCTGCATTGCCAGAGGCCAGTGCATTCCCTTCTGAAGAATATCTGGACATCCTAAATGAAGCTTAGCCCAAAGTTTAGCAACCCGACTCAAGTCTCCTGGCTAATGTATCAAGTTCACAAGCAACTGGTACCGCTGCTGACCAAAACAGCCCATTCCTCATTAAGAGAAGGGTAGAAATCTTCCTTTCTTCCTTCACATATACAATAGTCAAACCAACAGGAAAGAACCCTGCCCTGGATAGATCAGTCCTAGTCAAATACTGCCCAGAATCAAACTTCCCATTCCTGAGCAAGCTCAGAGAAAAGATAGCCAAAGGCCAGCTACTAAACTCAGTGAACAGAAGCCAACTTTCTAGAACCAGGACGATCTGAACTTAGGCCAGGACACAAAACTGAAACCACCAATGTGGCACTGATGGAGATTTCCTGCTGTCAGTGGATAGAGCAGGCATCCACTCCCACCTTTCTGGATCTCTCTCCCACCTATATCAATTGTGGAATACAACTTTCTTACCTGAGAGAGAGCTGGTAGAATTTCAGGGTAAATGCACTAAAATTGTTTGGGTCCTACCAGAAAGCAGTCATAGCAATATGCGCCTCTATTACCAGAGCCTCACATGTGGAATCCCACACAATTTTCTGCAGTCCTGTTCTTCAACCCCATGCAGCCAACTAGGTGAACTGGTCAAATGGACTTACATGTCAGAAATATGCAGAATGACATGCAGTCCTCCTTATCCTTCACCACATACAGCTATGCCTCTAGTAGCGAGATGGCTCACTGCTTGGGTGCAATCGGTCCAAGGATGAAGAACCGCTGGTTGAAGCTGGACTCAAGCAAGACAGAGGTGATGCTGGTGGACAGAGAGAAGCACTTTAGAGAGTTTTTCACCAGGAGATAACTTCCTGAGTGCATGACCTTGACTCACTGATTCAGTTTATAACTTAAGAACGCTCCTGGATTTCTTGATGATCCTAAGCTATCACATAGCAACATCCACAAGTCATGCTTTCTATCATAGCCAGGTGGTTAGCAAACTATGTCCTATTCTGCTCAAGGACTCATTGCCATGTCTTGGCTAGAGTAACCTAGTGCAGTATATCTGGGCATGAAGTCTTTAGGACTTAGGGAACTCAAACTAATGCCACAAGGGAAAGTAGGCTGAACATTAGGAAAAACTTTCTAATTACAAGGATAGTTGTGGCAGAGCACAGGTTGGGCCTTCGACTTTAAGCGTTTTCAGGAAGGCTTTGCATAACCAGCAGGTGCATTTGGGCCCAATTAAATAGTCACATGACTGAACAGGGGCCACTGGATTGGAAGAGGGCTGTTACACCTCAGTATAAGCCCGTGATGTAGGAGCAGAGCAGGCAGTTACACCTACGAGCTAGAAGAGCAACATTACTCAGACTGCAATTCCTGGAAGACCTTGAGGTCAGGGTAGGAACTATGGGGATGGAGGAGCTTCCTGGTCCTGGGGCATGACCTGAAACTACACCCTGCTGGGGCTGGATGCTGGGGTGGGACTGCCTGTGGTGGGGCAGTCTCCAAGAAATCCCATACTTGTGCCTCCCCAGTGAAAGGCAAGGATGGGGCCTTAGTCTCAGTCCCTGCTGCCTTGGGGGTACCCTGTGGAGGGGAAAGGCTAGCAGAGTACACCCTGACAGAAAAGCACAGGGCCCAGGCCCACTGAATGGGGAATCCAGATTCACTGAGTAGGGTCTGAGACATGGCCAAGGTCCAGTAAGGGATCTGAGGCCATGGGGGGCAAGGAGCCCAGAATGAGGCCTAAGGGGCAAAAGGCCCAGGATCCCAGTGAGGGGGCAGAGTAGAGGCCCCAAAGAGGGGCATGTGGCCAAGGTACATCTGAAGATACCTGAGACCAGATTTCATAGATTTCATAGATTTCATAGACATCAGGGCTGGAAGGGACCTTGGAAGATCATCGAGTCCAGCCCCCCGCCCAAAGGGCAGGAAGTCAGCTGGGGTCATAGGATCCCAGCAAGATAAGCATCCAGTTTCATCTTGAAGGTGTTCAATGAAGGCGCTTGAACCACCTCCGGCGGCAGGCTGTTCCAGACCTTGGGGGCTCGGACAGTAAAGAAGTTCTTCCTTATGTCCAGCCTGAAACGATCTTGAAGTAGTTTGTGACCATTCGACCTCGTCATCAATTGATGTGGGCTGGAGGCTGACTGCAGCCCAACTAAGGGACTGGGGGAGTTGAAAGTGATTTTTTTGGGGTGCCAGCTGCAAGGCATGGGGTACAGTGTAGGGATGGTTCAGAGCCATGTATTACACCCTTGGCATTGGGCATTAAATGGACAGCCTCCTGCCTATGAACAACTTTAGTTCCAACAAAGGTGTGGCACACGAGTAAGGTGGGCAGACTGCCCTAGACAGGTGGGAAGGCTGATGTTGTGACTGACTTTGTGATGGCCCCCTGTCACAATAGTAAAGCACTAGAATAGGTTACCTGGGGAGGTTGAAATAACCTCTAATGATGGAGGTTTTAAGAACAAGTTAGACTGATATCGGACTGATATCTATGGTTTAGATATGGCTGATTCTGCCTTGGGGCTGTGTGGTGGAAGAGATGATTAATCAAGGGTCCTTCCAACCCTATTTTGTGTGATTCTATGGTACTGAATACAATGGAACATCTTTTAGGCAACACAGACTACCATGAGCATATCACTGCTGTCCACCTTTCTCTACAACAACTTCCCACAAAATAAGTGAAGTCCACAGTCTAAGTTGCCATCTTCAAGGCACTTGATGGTACAGATGCAGGATATTTAAAGACCACATAGTGATCTGGGAAAAAGACCATGGTCAATGGCTTCACTCTTTTGGTGCGGGAGACTGATTTATCCTGGGACTAGTCTCAAACTACAGAACAAACCCCTCCCAGAACTAAGGGCCATGCCTTCTCTGACATAAGCATACAGCAAGTCACATCTCTGTATTAAGAAGAAGAAAAAACACTTTCATGCATATACTGAAAGGAAGGGAATAGAAAATAAATACTGTGTATTATTATTCCATTTTGAAAGCAGATTATTATAAACAGGACTGGGAATTCTTCTTCTGGAATTATTCAAGAATACCTGCTGTTTTTTAAATGCCCCTTCCCTTAAAGCAAATTATCTTTCAAGTGTAGACAAGCTCCAGTATTCTTACCAACTATTCAAACTGCCCTGATCATGCTCTGTAACTATCTCCTTCCATTTCAACTGAAACAACAATAGCTACAATCCTATTGTTTCTGAAGGCATTAAAATGTCAATGTCCATCCAGAACATCGACATTGTCCAACATTCTACTTAAAGGGGATTCCTAGGCGAGGAAGGACGTGTTGCATTTTGCTGGCCAGATCCCCTTACCTCTTATTGTTAATAAGCCTATTCCCCCTCAAACCCTTCTGGACCCTTCACATATGCCAGTCTGGAGATGCTGGACATGGATCACAGGTATTACATGTGAAATAATAAGGGAAGAGAGACAGTTGGGAGTAAATGTTTACACAGAAAAAAGTTGAAAAGGAACCCCAAACTAATTAAAAATAACTAATGAGATAGTCCTTTACAGTCTGCAAAGTGATGAACAATAAACACCAATACCAGGAAACACAACTAAAGAAACAAGTATTCAGAGGTATTACTGACAGAGGATGCCTGGCACTGCACACTTCACCCTAGGAGGGAAGATGGAAAACACGACTCTCTTCCTGGAGCACTATCTCCAGAATGCAGCAAGCCACGAGACAGAAAGCCCATGAAACTACAGCCTTCTAGACTTCATTAATGAAAGATTTTGAAGAAGACATGCTAAGACACTACAATGATAATCAGAGAAAAATCTCAGGGAGCCAGAAGATACCTGTGGGATACCTCTTGCAGATGTCATGCTGGTTCTACACCTAGCTTCTCATCATCACCCACAACAAAGTTTTGTATGCAAGGTAGACCTTTGAAGCATCACTCATTGGAGGTGTGCAGTGGGCACATACAGCTTTCTGACAAGGTAGTTAGTCACTCATCAGGAAGGGCATGCTGTTTTCAGGGAAACTGCTTCAGTATGGATACTTCAGATTGTAGTACACCCCACAGTTGTAGAATCAGAGAATCATAGAAAATGAAGGTTGGAAGGGACCTCAGGAGATCATCTAGTCCAAGCCCCTGTTCATCCCCAACTTCCAGCCAGGGCTTTGTCAAGCTGGCCCTTAAAAACCTCCAAGGATGGAGATTATATCACCTCTCTAGGTAACTTGTTCCAGTGCTTCAGGACCCTCCTAGTGAGAAATGTTTTCCTAATATCCAATTTAAACCTCCCTTGCTGCAGCTTGAGACCATTCCTCCTTGTTCTGTCATCACTGAGAACAGTCCAGCTCCATCCCCTTTGGACCCACCCTTCAGGTAGTTAAAGGCTGCTATCAAATCCCCTCTCAGTCTTTTCTTCTCCAAACTAAATAAACCCAGTTCCCTCAGCCTCTCCTCATAAGTCATGTGCCTCATCCCCCTAACCATTTTTGTTGCTCTCCGATGGACTCTCTCCAACTTGTCCCCAACCTTTCTATAGTGGGGGGTCCAGAACTGGACACAGTACTCCAGATGTGGCCTCACCAGTACAGAATATAGGGGAATAATTACTTCCCTCAATCTGCTGGCAACACTCCTACTAATGCAGCCCAGTATGCCGTTAGCTTTCTTGGCAACAAGGGCACGCTGCTGACTTGTATCCAGCTTATTGTCCGCTGTAACCCCCAGGCCCTTTTCTGCAGAGCTGCTGCTTAGGCAGTCAGTCCCCAGGCAGTAGCGGTGCATGGGATTGTTTCATCCTAACTGCAGGGCTTTGCATTTTTCCTTGTTGAATCTCATACAATTTCTTTTGGCCCAATCCTACAATTTATCTAGATCACTCTGAATCCTAGACCTACCCTCTAGTCTATCTACTACACCCCCTAGCTTGGTGTCATCTGTGAACTTGCTGAGGGTGCAAGCCATACGCAGTGGAAGGGGGGAGCTAATGGGGCTTATCCCCCCCTCAAATGCGGGGCAGTAGGTTTCCAGGCTACAGCAGGGATGGGGAGAGAGTAGGGCTGTGGCTGGGGGAGGGGCAGGTGCTGCACAGCCAGTAGGGTGCGGGACTCAGCCATGAGCGGCTTTTCCAGGAGGTGCGGCTCTTACTGCTACAGTACATGCATCCCAGGAGGTATGGAGACGTGTGCCCCCAAATCTGCAAGGGGCAGGGCAGGCTGCTGCTGTATGCTGAGATCGGGGTTGTGCCAGGGTTACCCCCATCATCTTCCCAGGGATGACTCTGAGTGAGGCAGGGTGGGCATGGGGGTCCCAGGGGCTCTGTCCCCTCCAGCCCGGAGGCACAGCTGAGGCTGGCCCTGCTCTGCACCCCACCAGGCGGTGCGGGGCTGGGGGTAGCAGATTCGTTCGCACGGGGGCGCCAGTACCAGGCAACAACCCTGGGCACAGGGGAGGAGGCGGCTGCACAGGTACAGTGGGCCCTGGCCCCAATCCTGATCCCAGGCCCGGCTCAGCTCCCACCCGATCCCAGCCCATTCCCAGCCCCAGCCCTTCTCCCTCCCCTTCTATGGCCCTTTCTCCTCCCCCTAACCCTTCCCTCGTAGACTTTCTGGGGGGAGGGGCACGTGTGCACACTCAGCCCCCACAAAAAAAAAATTCTCCTTCTGCCTATGGTGCAATCCATCCCATCATCCAGGCTGTTAATGAAGATATTGAACAAAACCAGCCCCAGGACTG